TAGGTAAAACATCCACTGTATAAACTTACACCTCTTTCATCCTCGCCACCTTCCAAATGTGGCCTCGTTCCTCTTTGTAAGTGCTAAATTGTGGCTGCACCACAAATAAATGAGGCCTTCTTCAACTATTAGGAGGTGGAGACAGTCACTACATCTAAGGACAAATAAAGTTAACAACTTTTTGATTTAACAAAATTCTAGCAAAGAGCACGTGGAATATAAACACTTCTTCAGTCAAATCTTAATTAAAAGAAGGGCTAACTAGTGCAGACACAAAATGCATACAGGACCTATGAAAATAACTCTCCCACCCTGAACAGTTTTCTCCTTTTATTGCTTTTCAACATTGAATCCTGGTCAATTTAATTCAGCTTCTTGACAAGATTTTACAAATCAAGCCTCTTCATGTCAAATTAAAAGCAAACGTATGTAAGTAATGTCAATTAATGACAAACATTAAACAGAAATAAGGTAATTACCTAAGTATTCACTGCCTGTAAAATGAGTCAGCACATGTACAGCCAATTGGTACTAGAAGTCACACAGTTAGTTAAATGGAGATCATTTGAGTGCAGTGAATATGTCCCAATTAACTGTAGTATAAAAACACCTGTATCTGGAAGTTCCAGTCACTGGTGAATCAGTACTACTGGCTATATCCACACCATGAGGACAAAATAACACTCCAAGAAAAATTGAAAATGTCATTAAAAAGCACAAGTCAGGGGATGAATACAAATAAGTCTCCAAATCAAGGAATATCCCTTTGAGTACAGTTATTTCCATCATTAAGAAATAGAAGGAATACAGCTCTGTGGAAATCTGCCTTGAGCAGGCTGCAAGAAGTAGACTAGTGAGAGAGGCCACCAAGACACCTATGACTCCTCTGAAGGAGTTACAAGCTTCAGTGGCTGAGATGGTGCATACAAGTACTGCTAGGCGGGTTGTTAACCCGTCAAAGCTTGATGGGAGAGAAAGCCACCATTGAAAGAAGCTCATATTAAGTATTGACTAAAGATTAAGTCAACTTAAAGAAGATTATTTGGTCTGATGGGACCAGAATTTAGTTTTTCGGCCATCCGGCTAGATGCTATGTTTAGCAGACACCAAACACTGCACATGATTACAGTCGACCGTTCACACTGAAGCATGGTGGTGGCAGCATCATAATGTGGGGATGCTTCTGAGCAGCAAGCCCTGGAAAGCTTGTAAAATTAATGCAGCAAAGTGTAGGGACATGCTGAAGGACAACCTGATGACAGAACAGTGAGGTGGCAGACATTGATCCAAGGCATACAGCCAAAGCTACCCAGAAATAGTTTAAAGACAACAAGAGGAATGTTCTCGAGTGGCTGAGTCAAAGTCAATACCTCAGTCCAATAGAGGATCTGTAGCTGCACTTAAAAAGGGCTGTTCACTCACAATCCGCATGCAAGCTGACAAAGCTTGAGCAATTTTGTAAAGAAGAGTGACATAAAATTGCAGTGTCCAGATGTGCAAGGCTGATTAGAACCTATGCCCACAGGCTCAATGCTGTAATTGCAGGCAAAGATACATCTAGTAAATACTGACTTGAAGGGGGAGAATAGTTCCACAATCACTATTTATTTATTTTAACATTGTATTAATTGACATTACTAAGCTAAAATTTGCTTTTACTTTGACATGAAAGATCCAATACTGAAAAGCAAGAAAAGTTCTTTGACTGTTCCTCATCATGTTTGTTCATGGAGTTTGGGAATTTTGTCTTGTCAAGTGACAGCGAGAGGGCTTACCATAGTGACACTCACGTTTTTTAATCATAAATGTTGTGGGCAGGAGTTGTTTCTCTTTCCTACCTGACTCTCTCTTCCTTTTACTGTGACACTTAGGTGATGTCTTCTTAAATGGTTCATCACATCCAAAGTATTGCCACCAGCATCAGCTGCTGGTGCTTGCAATACAGGTCATATCATAGGTAACGCTCAATCTGTAATGCTGCCGTACCACAGACTGAAATGATGCTGCCAGATCATCCAACGGACTTGTCCACTCGCCATTTCTAACGCTGACTGACAGCTGCACTCATCACTTCTTCAGTGCCAACAGAGACGTTTCACTGAGTTGATAGCCTTTTTTTTTCCTGTACATGCCTCATAAAAGCCTGTTCCAAATGAATGGAACAACACATACATGCCTGAAACTGTGACTAGAAACGCAAACAAGTCAAATGTTGTACTTGATGCGTTTTACCCCAAGTGATAACTGTGTTTTCATCCCATTGTGGCCCATTTGAAAGCCATTTTAAAAGCGGTTGAATGTAAAGTCGATAATGCCAAAACACCTACATACACTCACATAAAAAAGAGGGAAACGCATTGTCATACAACATGGACCATACTGTAATTAAGCAATCAAGCACAATGACACAAACAGTAAATTCTGACAGACCTGAGATATGGCTTGAACACTTTAACATCAATAAATTAAGCAGTGCTGAGTAGTTGGTATAATCACCATTAAAAAAAAAAAAAAGAAAGAGGCCAGCTCTGGGAAATATTTGACATATGTTATTTTGAGCCAACTTTACAAGAAATTTGGATTCCTCTGTGTCACAAAACTAGCATGTTTCTGGTTGTGGCATTTAAAAAAAGCACTTAAAGTCACATTTTTGTTCATTCAGGAACAAAGAAATTGTCAAAACATGCTCACACATGCACAGCCATCACCGTCATTGGCTTGTTTCTGCTACATCTCTTTTGCTCTCTACCATAATATCTAGGTCTAGCACAGTTTTGTCTCTAACTAGTTGTCTGCCCACCATCTGCTGCTGGGCATGTAGCATGCAGTAGGTTGATTGATGCATTTTTCTTTTTAAATTAGCTTCCTGCTGCTGACATGAGGTTGACGAGAATACTGGGACGCAATTATGGAGCTGTAAAAACACAGCTACAAACTAAAGGAGCTAGAGCAGGGGTGTCAAACTCTGGCCCGCGGGCCAAATTTGGCCCGCTTTGTAATTATATTTGGCCCGCGAGACAACACCAAATGACTACTAGAGCTGCCCCCGGTATTATACTGTACAGCACATTCACCGCTAATACTACAAATCCCATAATGCCCTGTTGTTGTTTTGGCACGTCAATCAGGACAGGACCCAGAAACTCGCTCTCCTCTGTGACAGTAGGCATAGCGACTTCACACTACAACTGTCACTGTGCCATTGATGTGTTTTTTTATTTATAATTTGATTTTGCATGTCTCCACTATTAAGTTATATATAATGTATGGCAGTAAGCGTTGCTTGTTCCATATTCAATGTTAAAGCAAAATTTGTTTCGGTCCATATTAAAAGGTTCATTTGTTCAATGTTGGCCCGCGACGTTGTTCAGGTTTTAAATTTTGGCCCACTGTGTTTTTGAGATTGACACCCCTGAGCTAGAGGATTAACGGGGCTGATTTGGAGGATGATGCACTGTGTGTTTTTAGGTTGGGTTAGGTTGTCGAAAAGCTGTAGAGGTTCATGAAAGTTCTTATTTCTGGGTAATACTGCTGTGACATAGTTTGCTCTCCACGCTGTTATGACGATTATATCGAGGCGTCACAAATAATTTGGCACAGATGCTTAGAAATGCTGGATGTTACCATGCTACCAGACTGGCTGAACATGACTGGAACACACAATCGGTACATTTGCAAAACAGATACCATACTGTATTACTTTTTCTTTTTTTTGTTTTAAACGTAGTGAATCACTGTGCAGCACACGACAGTGTTTCGACAAATACCAGTAATAGTAAACAAACATGCACCACGAAGTCAAGTAAGAAGACATTTTTACACTCACTGCTACATCTACTGTAGCTAATGCTGAAGTGCTCAAATGTGTGACAGTATTTAGCTTTAATATTGCTGTTGACCTGTGCTTGTGATGGGGATAGTCATTGCTTTTGTACATGGCTAATTAGCAGAGCCACTCTTGTGCTAGTGATACTTATTGGTGCATTGTGTCATCTTCACAGTGCCTATAAAGAGTTTATCACAAAACAGGCAGTGAACCGCAGTCTGAGTGTATATCTATGCGTGTGAGGTGCGTGTATTATGCATCGAATGTAGTTGCGTGAATGTTTGTGTGTTTGTTGATCTCCTGCTGGCACTTCATAAATATATAGTCCTCCTACATCTGCAACAAAGACAACAGGAGACCGGCATTTCTAAGTCCCATTGACCATCTTCACTAAAGATGAAAGCGCCGACCTAAACAAGTCTACGCGGGATACGCTAAAGCAAAAATATCCAAATTCAGAAGACTCCGTCCTTTTTGACGAGCAGAGATGAATGAAGCTCGCTGCCAAAGCAAATACTGAAACAGCATAGAAAAACAATGCTTTCTCTGCAGGCATCATCACGGGGCTTCAAAGGAGAGGGCGAGGACGAGATGAAAGGCTGGATGCATTGTGGTATTTGAAAAAAAAAAAAAAAACACTGGCTAGCCCTCAACTAACTGATGTCAAGGTTTGTGTTTTTTTGCATTCCCTTTTTCATTGGGATATGAAGGCAGACGCTCTAAAGTTAAATCAAGTGCCCTCTAATGTGACACACGAGCAGACGCGCGATGATGGTCGAGAGAACATCCAAGACATTCTTGAACAACGGGACGGACGAGTGTCTGCAAGCACATATTTACAGGATATCTACTGGGCGAAGCTCTGAGCATTTCGCTCGCTACATTTCTTTCTTGTCCCCTTCACTGGGCTTTTTTAATCCAATATTGAACAACCTACTGAAACATGCTGGACCACAAAACTTTTTTTCAGGCTTTGTGTCTGTCCTTAATTACTCTTCCCGAATCCTGAACTCTGAAAACCCTTTTGAAGTTCACACTGCACTCTCCATCTCCCCAAGAAACTGACAAACCATCAAAGACGTCCAAAGAGTTTCTGAAACACACTGTACGTCGATTACAGAAGATTAATATGCACTCTCGGGGAAAGAGAACACCTATTGGATGAGGTTTACTGTTACATTGGACACACTTTGTTCTCTGGGATGGGAAGCTGAGCGAATGAGCCGCAGTCGGTCGGAGAATCGTCGGATCTGGGCGACACCGTGCCGCCCACAGGGATGCGAGCTGCAATGGCTGACATTTCTCCCGTTTGACTCTCGGAAGTAAGTCCAGGTCGCCCTGAAGTCTGATTCAGGTTGCTCTCTGGGATGGTCCCCTTTCCGGTAAAGTGCTGGATTAGGCACTTCCTGAACTGGACAGAAACAAAAGAAGTGAAAGTAGTTAGCTTGATCAAAATCATTTGCAATTCAACTTCATGGAACATATTTAACAAACATAAACTTAAAGGAACAATGCAACAGAAACTGAATTAGAAAATAAATTGTGAGGTAAAGGTGACATTAGCCCAAAAATTCAGGAAGCTCAATCCACTTACAAAACACATAATGAAATACATTTCATTTATGTTTTATTTGTGTTATCAAACTGTTTAAAATGTATTAAAAGTTGTTTTAAATTTCTGCCTTATAGCTGCGGTGTACCAATGACAGTCTCTGTCAGTCTATAGGCTATAATCACACCAGAATGAATGTGTGTGAATGAATAATTGACAGTGTAAAGCGCCTTTGAGTGCCTAGAAAAGCGCTATATAAACCAGATCAATCATTATTATTATTATTATTATGAAAAACATGGTGTCAGACTTTTGTAGGATTTTATACAGAACAAACCTATAGAACTGAACCCATTCACTTATTGCTTTCCGGATCATCATTAAGAGTCAAAGGTGAGCATTTGTGCTCGAGTTGCAAGCAAGTGGTGGAACGCTGAGTGGAAATAGAGAAAGAAGCTTTCACGCATATTTATAGACTCTTACATAGTAATTAATGCAAAAGTTCTATCTAAGCCATTTTATTAGATATGTCATTTTGTTGAACATTTTTTGTTTGTTTTTAGGGCTTTCAGTGTTACCAGAAGAATAACTCCTCATATTAACTGTTCTTTCCTTTTTCAATCATGTGTTCATGTGCTCTGGGTTTTTATCTTCTGTTTCTGCTTCACTACCAGCTGCCCTTTGTGTACAAATGAAGCTATTTTTTGTCTGTCTGCTTAGCTTAGCTTAAAGACTGGAAGCAGTGGGAAACTGCTAGTGTGGCTCTGTAGTGAAGCACTAAGACCTCTAAAGGCCAATTCATGGCTTCCACATCCCCCTGTGCAGATCGATGCAGACTCTGAAAGAGGACAATAGACAAGCGTGCAGTCCTATTCATGCTATAATAGATACGCATCTGTCAGGCGCATTGCCCCTCATATCGAACACAGAAAAATGCAAAGAGCTTCTGTGGATGTTTCTGAAAGGCTGACTGTGACTTTACGGAAGATAGCAGCTGGTAGCACCATGTCAGTGTGATTATTCTTGAAGTGTACAGAACATGTTTGGGTGCTGTCAGGGAAAAGCACGTACAAATTAAAGCCTCTCCAGAGTCCGGCTAGGACTACTTTATTTACAGCTCTGATAATGATAAAGTTGTGGATGATTGAAAAGCTCCTTATACACTAAACTAAATAAGCATTTGTTTTGAGTTTTCCTGGCATCATAGTCAGCGAATGGCAGCACCGATAGCATGGATCGCGCTAGAATGGACGCCGACCCTTGCAGGTGCAGAAAGCATGAATTGGCCTTAACTGCTCATTTTGCATTTGGTTCATGTGTACACAAACAAATATTAAAAAATGTTTGTGTTGTTCTTCAAAGCACAAGTACAAGTTGTCTTTGAGACGAAAAGGCACAGCAGAAGCCAGGATTCCGCCGGCTCCTCATCCAACGTAACAGATACTTAAAAAACAAACAAACAAACAAACAAAACAGAAGCCCAATACAACGAACACCAGATGACCCAAAAAACAGCATTTACCTCGCATAATAATGCCAAGAAACAAACATATGACGAGCACAAGAATACAGACAGCAAATCACGCTGGTCATTAATATAACGTGACCTTATGGCTTCTGTATACAGATATGTTTATCGTGCCAGTTATTAAGACATGCTTGTAACTTCATTAAGCGAGAGGAAGCTTTTCCCTTTGTTTCCAGTCTTTATGCTAAGCTCCTGGCTCATCTAACTCTCAGCAAGACAATAAAATGTCAGTCTGAATTGTCATTTTTTTGGCCTCGGCACAGACACATTTTTAACAAAGTGCTTATAATCCTTGTCTCTGCACTGAGCAAAATGTTTGTGCTGCTAATAATCGCCCACTGTATTACACAGTGTACAAGATGGCCTGTATTGCCGTCTCAGACACACACACGCACACACAGACACGCACACAGACACACAATGGCATTGACAATGACGCTCCATCAGTGTTGACTCTTTCCAAGAACGCAGCCGTTTTCAGCCGGTCATCACTAATAGCCCCACAAACATTGGTTCCCACATTACTTTAAATCTAAAAACAGTAATTGACCTTTCCCAGTGCTGGAGCTCCCACTCTGTGAAGCCCTCAGGAGAGAACTCATGATTCCTGACCCTTAATGACCTGTCTAATTTGACACGCAAGCCTCTTAACTGCTCCCCCCAAAGCAGCAGTGTTGCTCAAAATGTGGCAATAAGACCTCTGCCTCCCTCTGATGTCATGACAAAGCAGACGGCTGCTGTTATTGCAGTGCTGCAGTCTATGCCTGTTCACTCTGGGACCTATAACGTGCTGTTAAGCCTCTTATGTCTAATAGTTGTATAACACTTCCCTCCAACAAAACAGAAGATTTTAAAACACTCCTGCAGTGAGAATAAGGTCATGAAATGTCATCTTAATGGCAGAATGAATCGCCTGAAACACATTTACTCTGAACAGCTACAGCAGATGTTTTCATTTGCTTCTTTAAGGCAGTTAAATTCAAAAGGGTTGTAAAGGGGACACTATGTCACTAGAGTAGCATATAGAGTGGTCCGGCTCACAAACTGGGACATGTAGCATCGAGCTGGTTCATCAGAAGTTTGATTAAAACAGCTGCCTGCTGCGGCTGTAGATGATGTTAATGACAGTGAGCTGAAGATGTAAAGTTCTGGGTCATAAAACCAAATGATTACATCATCGTTTTAGTCAATTTCCCAACAGATGATACAGAAATGCAGATACAGTGCAGCTTTAAAATTCATTTTGGGCACATACATGATTGAGCCACAGCATTAAAACCAGTGACAGAGGAATGATTAACACTAATCACCTCGTTACAATTCAGTGTTCTGCTGGGAAACATGGGGTTATGACATTCATGTGGACGTTACTTGAACATTGTTGCAGACTAAACAGACCTCCTCATGGCAACAGCACTCTCTGCCACGGCACAAAAACTGCTCAGCAACAGCTTGAGGAACATAACAAAGAGCCCACAACACTGACTTGGCCTCTAAACCCCAATAACCCCATCTGATAAAGCATCACTGAAATGAAGTCTGATCCATGGAGGCCTCACCCTGAAACTCACAGGACTCAAAGGATCTGTGGCCAGAGTTCTGGTGCCAAACATCACACAACAGCTGTTTTGGCCTCAACAATATAAGGCAGGTGGTTTTAATGTTGTGGCTCATCAGTATACTTCAGTAAAAACTGAATTAAGGTGCATAATAGAAACATTTCTGCCAATGCTTCATTCCACAGACCACTGACTGTCGTATATGTTTTCACGGTCTTTGACTAATTCCTGGTACAGCAGCTCTTTAGGCTCACCGTATCCAGCTTGGTTGTAGTTGAGATACAGGACAAAGCTGTGCCATCTACCATCTATGGGCGGACTTTTCCTGTGAATACAGCTGAATCCCGTAGCTTTCTAAAAATATATCAGTCATTTGGATTCCATTACATACCTACTTAGTACGTAAAAAGCACACATTATACATTTTTTCTTGTGTGAAATACTCAAGGACACAGAGGTTAAGGTTGCAGTGCTTTCAGCCCATATGTGCTGTTCTGCTTTGAACATTTCAACCACAGTCATCAGGTCAGAGTCACTGGAGTGTTTATGAAATGGAGGTTTGGGATATAAAAGGCCTGTAAAGCATTATTGAGCTCTTCAGCATCATCACTTCTCGTAAAGCTGTCCCTACAGTGCAAGCTCAACAATGATCGTTTATGTGGAGCCGCAGCCATGTTGAAAAGTTGTGAACCTACAGGCCACTTGTTAGATTTTTCACTTTATCTCACAAAATGAAAGAATCTTCTAATGTTTTTGTGTTTGTTTTTGTTTTTAATCATGCTTTTGCTGCTTGATTCCATTTTTGCTTTAATGTTTTTAGCAATAAAAACAACTGCTTGGGACTCCCTGCTCCAGAAAAAGTAACCGGCGGGGGAGAGCGGCGCGCCTGGCGGGGCGGTCCGGTCTGTTGGGCTCACCACGACACACTATTTCGGCGTGGGCGTGGCTTGCCCGGCGGATCTGGCGGCTCTGCTGAGCGTGCCGCAGGTGCCGGCCGTCAAAATCTGCCGGCTGACACGTCACTCGCTGTCAGTTGTCATCTCTGAAGAAGGCGAGCGTTGTCGCCGAAACTGTCAGGTACTAAGAACCACACTCTACATGTCTGAATAGAGAACCTGAACATTAGATTTCCATTTAATTCAAGGCCCAAGGCGTCAAAACAGTCCAGTCTTAGTTTTCTTACTTGCTTTGTTTTTTGATCTCCACATTGCCTTTCCTTATGATCAAGCAAATATCAAAGCTTGTTTAAAGCCCCATGTGAAATGGCTTAGAAAGTTATTTTAGCCTATTTCAGCTCTGACTACAGTGGAGGCAGTTTCCCTCTGAAACCAGAAGCAGCAGTAGTCATGCATCACGGAAATCCCATGAGACCCTGCTTCACCTCACCTTGTTATGTAACACATAGACAAAGAGAGGAGGATATCCCGGTCAAGCACTCAATATCAGCTGACTCATATAAGCTCCAGCAGTTTGGCTGAAGCAGCAGGAGTTCCACTCAAACCTGAACCTGCGTAATAGCTGTTATTTATGTCAAGTCGAGGTCGTTTTGGAGACACCGGCGGACCACTCTGAACAGCTCAGAATTGGAGCAATCAGATAAACATGCAGTTCCCCGGCAAGAGACCGATCCAGTAGGGCTTCTATTCTCCTTTTCTAAAAATAAATCGCTTTAAATTGTAATGTAGTCAAGTCTCAAGTCATTTGATCTTGTTTGCCGTAACCAGCCTTGACAGGTTTAATGTTCACTACAGCGGCAGCACGGTAAAGACTCCTACAGAAAAACAATGGTGCACTGTGCAAATGGAGCGGCGTGCATGTTAACATGAAAAAGTTGTTAAAAAACTTTAGGAGGCTTCAGTATTATATAAAGTGTGATGCCGTGTGAGCTAAAGACAGCTGATGTGACAAACTGGACACAGCTCGCTCGTGTTTACCAGAGATACACGAGAAGTGAAGCTGGTGAGTCCACCACTGTATTGGCAGTCAGCCCTGAAGGGTATCAGTGTTTTGCTTAAGAGCACAGTGAGCTCTGTTTCTGCCCACGGGAACTATTTTGTTGAAGGTAGAACTGTGCTACTGTCACCTGCAACGTGACACATGAAACATTCACACAACTCCCATAGTAGCGAGGAGTCCATCTGGTGAACAGGCTGGCTCTGAAGACTCTGACTGCGACATCATGCCAACTTTGCTTGATGAAGTTTTCAGAAACTCATACAATTTGCACTTTAGCTTTTCCACAAAATGTTCTAGCGCAGCTTAGTCGCCACTGAAAAAACTTGCGTGCAGTGCAGTGTGTGAAGGCTGATGAACATGACAAGAAAGGCTTTGACTTCCCACTTAATCTGTAGCCTTAAACTCTTGTGTAAACATCTTATCCACTGTATTCAATAGAAGTGAGTCCACCCCTGTGCAATATCACCTACATGTCAAAAGATTCATTTGCATCGCTTCTCTTTCTCTATTTTCTCTTGCAAACAAGAGAGGAGACACACAAAGATGGAAAAAGATAAAAGTGACCCAATAAAAAAATGTGAAAACGCAGAGTCAGCAGTAATCAGGAGAATGAGTCATAGTGCCACTAATTAGAGCTGCAGTGGCCTAAAATGAGTGCATGGACAGTGAACTTGATGCATTACCTAACTCAGAAACTCTGATTTCCATTTGACAACCCCTGTGCCAGTCTGAAGCACTTGCCTATCTATTTTTCAGTCACAGCTCAGTGTGAAGGACGGTTCATAACGTCAGCCTCTATGGACAGCATTAAAGAAAAATACTGCAAAACTGCAAGACTAAACTTTGCTAAAGAACATGAAAAGAAGCCCGATTAATGCTGGGAGAACATTCTTGGTTTAGACGAGACCAAGCAGAGTTTGACGACATGCGGCTGCATGAGTGCAAAAGGTATCGTGTAGATTTATAGACGGCACCATAAATGTCTGTGGATATGCCGCCATACTGACTGACAGGATGACTCCCAGTCTGAAGAAACTTGGCAAAAGAGGGATATTCCAGCATGACAACCATCCAAAGCACACAGACAAAGTCACAAAAGAGTTTCTACAGAAGAACCGAGTGCAAACTATGAGCTGACAAAGTATGAAGCCTGACTTGAATCTAATAGAACGCCTTTGGGGTGTTTTAAAGAGAAAGTTAGAGCAACATGAAATACTGAAATACAGTCGTGACTCGATAATCTGACACTAAATGTAAAACCTTTTTATGTCGGATAGCAAGGCTGTCGGATTGTCAAGACGGAGGTCGAGATACAAGGAGGGCTTAATGCTTGAAGGGCAATTTGTTGTTAATATTTATTGTTTATGGTTGTTATATTAACTAGTGTATTGTTAGAAAACTACGCATCGCTGGATTTCACGCCTAATTGACTGGTGCGCTTGTGCACGTTCCGGCCACTTCCAACCGGGGGAGCGCTTCAACGGGGTGGAAGTGGCCGGAACGCACAGACAGTACTTGGCTGCTGATGCCGCTTTAGTTAGTGGTCACAGTTGTGTTTCCACCATCGGTGGCGGCGGCGGGGGAGTGGCAGATACACTCCACTGTTACCATCCATGTTTACTCCGCAAACACTGAGCACGCCGCTGCGTGTGACGTCGTTGTGTCCTCTTCTGTGCATGTGGGACACTTTTGGGTCGTATGAAGTTCACACAGCAGATCACATCCAAGTCGCATTGAACTGGAAACGTGAACGAACTCGCAAAAAAATCGTATTTTACAAAAAAATCTGAATTGAACATTAAGTCCTGCAGTCTGAACGTAGCCAATCTGTGGGATTGTTCAGTCAGATAACACGCCGTTATCCTTATTTGCGACATAAAATGTCATGTCGTAGTCGGAATCCAAGGCTGTCAGTATGTTAAGGCTGTTTCTAATGGGTTCTGTTCGTTTTTCCTAAAAACCTGTCAGATAGCAAGTTTTTCGGATTGTTAAGGGTCGGATTATCGAGTCACGACTGTACTGTTTCTAATTTTACACAAGAGCAAATATACTACGGTTCAACTTGATAGAGTTTTGAATCATTTCACAGTTAACTGACACCTTCATAAGGCTGTACTCACTTCTGCTTTACATTGTAGATGGGGAAATAACGTAATGCTAGGTATACAATGCACTAACATGCTTCCTGATAAATATGTCATCTGCAGCTACATTCTGATTCCACATGATCTTCTTCTAAGCATGTTTATTAAAGTACTAGAAAAGAGAAGGTTTACACAGCATGAGCAATGCAGAAACTATAATATGCATCCATCTTGCTATGTTTTATCTTTACATGCTCATTAGGATGTGGTCTCGAGATACAATTGGCTCTTATGGCGCCACTTCATACCCAACATTTTCTGTTTGGACTGTTATCACTGTCTGATGTATTTAGCTGCAGCTGCCTGAACTACAGCCTTCATTAAGAATCCTGTTAGAACGTTACATTTGCCATTTAATTGTCAAAAAATCTACTTATTTAAATCACTGCAGGAGGCAAGTGTCAGCTCACGACACTGAAAAAGTACCGAGTAAAGTATGACTGTGTACAGGGAAAAGTGCCAAAACTTAAAATACAGAAACATACGAATGAGCATTTTAACTGAAAATTATATACGATATGTTAAAAAAGTGAACTTTATCACTCTGTCCTAAAGGCAGCAGTTGATATTTGTCCAGTCCATGATGATCACCCAAAGAGTGTGTTCCTCACATACACTGTGAAAACAAAGCTAGGCAGCACGATGTAAAATTTAACAAAGCAAATGGCGTGAAAAATTGTCAGCACAGCCGCTCTCACAACCGCAAGCCCCACAAGAATACTGTAGGAGGCTAATGTATTTTTTAGCAGAGCCACACACGGACAATTGTACTCTCTGGATTTCACTTTTCATTTATTCATCCAGCATGCATTATTGAGAGACAGGCTAACACCCAACAACAACAGAAAAAAAAAAACATCCCGGTATTCTAAAGCAGCTTTCATTTGCAGCATACAAGCGCTGATGTGTCCCCAAGGAGGAGTTCAGCTACTGACTGAAAAAGGCCAAATCAAGAAGTGTTCTGAAGCCACAATGTGGTCCACTGGCTCTAAAAGAAATAGTACCTGTTTGTTCATGAAGACGTAGATGATTGGGTTGTAGACAGCAGCCGTCTTGGAAAAGAAGGCGGGGATGGAAGCCAGCCGGGGATCCAGTTCGATGGTTGGATAAGCTGTGACCAGTATGGAGAAGGCGGCGTATGGCGTCCAGCCCACCATGAAGGCCACGATCATCACCACCACCATACGGGTCACCTGCCGCTCGGGCTTCCTGGCGGTGGCCAGACGACCGTGAGAGACCTGGCAGAGACAGAAAATCTTAATTTACTCAACGGTTCCTCTGTGTGCCATCAGTAATAATAACTTTTTATTTGCCATTTATAAAGCAATATGAAAAAGAAATGTGTTTTAATGGAGAAAACAAAGCAGGACACCCATGACGCTGTGAAGTTGGCCAAACAAAGCAACTTCGGTAAAACTAAGATAAAGTTGAAAGTGGAAAACAAGAGGCACAAAAATACAAAACACAGTATGTCAATAATAATACACACAAAAATAAACAATAATAAGCAATACAAAAGATGATGTCACAACATCAAAAGCAAATCAGTGACAATTAAGTGATTGAGAAGAAGTTACTGATTCCTAAAGCCTCAAAGGCAAGCCTCAGCTTTATAACAGCCAGAAGGGCCTCACCTGGGGATCTAAGGCGGGGGTGTCAATCTCAAAAACACAGTGGGCCAAAATTTAAAACCTGAACAACGTCGCGGGCCAACATTGAACAAATGAACCTTTTAATATGGACCGAAACAAATTTTGCTTTAACATTGAATATGGAACAAGCAACGCTTATTACCAAACATTATATATAACTTAATAGTGGAGACATGCAAAATCAAATTATAAATAAAAAAACACATCAATGGCACAGTTGTAGTGTGAAGTCGCTATGCCTACTGTCACAGTGGAGAGCGAGTTTCTGGGTCCTGTCCTGATTGATGCGCCAAAACAACAACAGGGCATTGTGGGATTTGTAGTATTAGCGGTGAATGCGCTGTACAGTATAATACCGGGGGCAGCTGTAGTAGTCATTTGGTATTGTCTAGCGGGCCAAATATAATTACAAAGCGGGCCAGAGTTTGACACCCCTGATCTAAGGCTTCAGCGCATTTATTTGGTGTCAACTATTCTGGTCTATAGATAAGGGTCAGACCCAGATCACTTCAAATCATCAACACAATCAATTCTAAAACAAACAGAGAGCTAATAGAGAGACGCCAGGACTGAAATGATGTGCTGTTGTCTGATAAACCAGTAAGAAGTCGAGCTGCTGCGTTCTGTTTCTGGATGAACTTTGCTGAACTGCAGGCAGAAGACAAGTATGGAAAGCAATTAAAGGTGTCAAAATCCCCATAATTTTCTATTATGGGTAACACCTGGGGGGCACTTAGAAAAATGTTGGATGGGAGCAATAAACGGCCAGAAACTGCAAAAGAAAAAAAAAAGACCATAAAGTGAGCAAAAAATTTTAGCCAAATAACACTTTTCACTTTTATGATTACTATTATTATAACTATTACTATTAATGCATAATATTCCCTGTAATTGAACCCCAAATTAAATCACCTACACTAACTTAGTGAGTCATCATCGCTATGATTAATCCTCCCATTAGCACACTGCTGCTGTCCTATTTCCTTCATTCTCCCTGCAGGTCTCTGCTGCTCACTTTTAAGTTTCCGTCACTAAATCTTGACAGAAGGACAACGGTGCGTGAAATCAGAAACTTAGGATAGCAAATTGTCACTGTCTTATAAAGCAGATTTCATAAACGAGTGTGTGTTGTGAAAGATCTGACCTTTCTGAGCTTCCGGAGGAGCCTCCCGTAGCAGAAGAATATCACTCCAAGAGGCAAAATGAAACAGGTGGTGAAGAAAGTGATGATGTAGCTGTGATCTGTGATGTTGGTTGAATACCTGTTTAATAGATGGACAAGAAAGGTGGAGACATTCAGTTAGGCGCCATTACGAAACTGTTATTTACACGTCTTGACTGATTTTGCAACAGATACGTTTGAGAACACCTCAGTGTCCCTTTAAGAACAAAATGGTTAACGATCCCATCATCATCACAGCTATGAGCTGTCTGTGAAATGTCATTTTGACATTCAGAGGCTTTTATCTGACTCAAGAGAAAGACAACAGTTGTGCATCTCATTTGAGCTTCAGTTAAAAGAGAAATTTCACAGCTGAGACAAATCTCTGTGACTCAATTAGGGGCCCAGAGGGCACTAATTTAGTCTAATTATGTCATCTCCATGAGAACAGCGACCATCTTCAAATGAAACAAGCTCCAGATTAATGTCTGGGGAAATACCTGGCAGACAGAGCAGTTTGTGTGTGTGTGTGTGTGTGTGTTTTATATTTGCATGCATGCATCTTAATCCTTGCTGAACGAGGGAAGTGTGGCTGAGCTCACATTGTGATGCTGCAATTCACACCTCATTCCTCATTAATTTACTGGCATGTAACAGAAGGAAAACACCAGCTCGTGATGCTAAAACGTTTGCTTACTTCATAAAAGTTGCAAGAAAAAACAAAAAAATAAAGAAATCATTGACGCAAATAGGCGGAGTGATGCTGTGGTTACAAAACAGTAGACTTGTGAAGGATCTGTTCGGTATATCGGCAAAACAAAATCACTGTGAAAGCACACTGCCAGCCACTCTGGGCTCTACAGCACTTTAGCCCCTGAAGATGTACATATCTGTAGTGTTCCAGGGTGCAGCCATGTGCAGCTGTGGGTCCCCTGAATCATTCAGACTTCCTCCCTTCAGTCAGTTTCCCTGAAGGCAGGACATGAGCGTGCTCATTTTTCTTAAAACTGCACCCTTATGGACAGTCATGCACCATTTATTTGTGATCTCTGGTGTGTTTCTCTGATCGCTGCTGTAGATGTGCAGCCAAAAGATGTCGCTCAGTTTGTTCCGTTCCTGGCCGACGGATTAACTGGTCACTAGCAGCATTTCTCCTTAACTTGTCGCTTACTTTATAAACTGAAATACATGTTTTTGTTAAAATAAAAAGTTAAATAAATTTAACTTAATTTCCAAGTTTTTACATTCTCAATTCCTCTCCTTGCCTCCTTTCCTAGTGTGGTAGGACTGGAAGAGGAAAGGAGTTGAAGCAATAGCTATGTAACGTATTGAGACATCCTCGCCTCATCATTTTAACTCAATTAAACATGACATGCGGCGCAGCTTTGTCGTCTGTCCGTGGCTTTGTTACAGCCTACTGTTGTATTTTATGATCTCCGTCGGTTGAGCAGAGCAGTATTCATGACAACTTACAGAATACATCTACTTATAATTCAATTCACAGCGTGGCATAATGTGACGAGAACATATGGATGTCATACATTTTGATGTTTTATTGAACACACACACTCGCGCCACGAAGCATAAAGGAGGCAGACAAAAGTGTTCAACACAAAGGATGACGTATATAATAATGATTCCTGCTCCCACAATGGTTCGTATATCCCAGCTGTGTGCTCCTCTTTCACACCCATTTCTGCAAAGGATGCATCGAGGAAACACCTGTGTGTCCTTGGTCAAAGCTCCTCCAGAGGACAGAGGAGACGAGGAGGCTCAAAACAGAGAAACGAGATGAGCCTAGTTGCTCGCTTGATGCACAGAACTAAATGAAGCATCCCGTTCTCCCAGTAGCTCCATCTACAGGGCAGGAGGCCAAAGTAATTTGAGATTCAGTAACTTAATGAGCCACTTCTGCTTATCAGGCAGGCAGCATTTAAATCATCTCCATGAGAGCTGTCGCCAGCCAAACTGTCAGTTCCGATGAGGTGAATTCCATGCACCGGTACAGACAATTCTGTCAAACAATCCCAAAAATCAAATTAGCTAAAGGAATCTGTCTTCCCACCGCCAGCTGGTGTTCTCCTCTTCACCAGCAGCCTGCCTGACTGTCAGAGTGAATCTCCTCATTTACAGTGGGGGGCACATTACCGCTTCACAGTTGGAGTTTCTTAGAAGATCTTTTTTGATCCTACCACTGGAGGACTTCACAATGTGAACAGGGTTGCCAACTTTGAGCTAGCAGTTGGAAAGAGGATGGAGTAGAGATGCTGCAGTGCATTGGAGGGGAGAAAGTTTGAATCCATTTTTGATTTCCGACACACTGAAAATTCTGTTTACTTGATGATAATTTCACAAATTACGGCAACTTCCTAAATATTTCAAGAGGTTATATTCTATATAGTAAAGGGAATGCATCCACACATACAATAATGCAACTGCTGCAAACATCCTGTGGTGAAAGTTTCAAATGAAAAAAAACAACAACATGATGTTTCAGATCATTCTTACTGCAATATATTTAACTGTAACTTATCAACTGTGACTCCATGTGTGACAGCTTAGTTGTTGGAAATGAAGAAAAGTACATAATGTCATTTGATTCTGACCAATCTTATTTCAAAGTAATTAATGAACGTAATACTGCTGTGCCATGTGCCTAAATGCACTCTTGCATTGGACATGCTCGTATGTATCCTTCTGCTGTCTGATGCAGCAGATATGTAATACAATCAGAGGAAAGACTCCTACAGACAACTGGAAGCAGCAAACCAAACGTCAGCTCCGTTAACATCTTGTGAAAGAAGCCCAGATACATTTACTACTGGTGAGTCTCAATGCAGAATATTTGAAGAATAATCTATTTCTATAGTCGTTTCAGTTTGTAAGAGTAGTGAAACTGAAGAGTGTACATTTAAGGTGCTTTGTGATATTAGTAGATGAGTGTTGGCTCAGTAATTTGGAAAATGCACCGCTGTTCTGTGAGGCCTCTTATTTGTTGTGAGATTAGTTTGGCCAAAGTCTGAAAGCAGAGGTCTCACACCAAGAGGGGGTTTGCAACAGAAACAGGGGAAAGTACTGAATATACGTTTGGATATGCAAGTAAAACTGTGGCAGAAAAAAAAATCAATCTAAAAATGCAGCTAAATCAAAATCCACACCTAAATTTAATGAATTCTTCTTCTCCAGCAAGTCTCATGAAATTTGGTAGTTTTATTTTGCACATGCTCCACCCTCTGGTGAGATTTGCACTTCATTACCCCATTCAAGGCTCGGCGTTGATACATAAAAAAGTACCAGCAGGTAGCACTTAACACCGGGGTCCTGTATGAAACATCTCTTCTCCCTCTTTCACTCAGCCACCCAGTAGGGCCAACACAACAACCTGCTGCCCTTCTGTGTCGTAGGACGTCTACAAGCAAACCAAATCAAGAGTCTACGAAAAAGATGTTCCATCTTTGAAGTCTTGGACCAGGGCTGTTGCGACTTTGGTCCTGAACCTGTTTAATGATGTGTCTTGGTCTTCTACTTCCACCTCACTACATTCATACTTCAGGCACATGAATCAGGTACAGGGTCTCATTTGGTGTTTGGGGTATTGTTTGACGTAAACTGGTGCCACAGAGGTGGGTTCTCTTTGGTATAGTATGGAACCTTGGGACTAAGGATAATGCCTTGAGCAGTGGGCAAAGGCTTCCTTCTTGTTTTTTTGATGGGTCAAGGTTGGAGTACATTTATCCATAAAGGCCTTCATCTTTGGTGAGAACCAATAATAAAGCCCAGGACAAAACACATATTAAATAGAAATAGCAGTTACTAGACGTAAATACAGTTCTATGAGTGTAGGCCTCAAACTGCAGGCCCAACTGGTCCCCTTTTGGCATAGATTGGTAAAGATTTGTCTCAGGGCGACAAGGCAGAGCCAGAGACCTTGTCACTCATTCTGGGCTAACAAAGTTCACACATTCTCATAAAGCTGTGGTAACATCCAGTAAATAGTCATTTCTGCATAATGTTGCTGAGAGACAAACAGAGAAAATGTATTCCCACTGTAGTCGACAGATCAGTTCCATGGTAATTTAAATGGAAATCATCTAGTTTAATGTTGTCTTTATTGACAACTTTTTTGACAAGTAATATCCTACACGTTTCTGGTTGATAAAATAATATCCTCAACAGCCCAAATTTCTCATTATAAGGTCATTTAGCTGCTTGGTCAGTCTGTGTACTTGAACTGCAAATATGCAGCAACTTGTAGCATTATATTTGTGACAGTAATAGTAGCTAATGTTACTTTACTACTGTCCATCCATCCATCCATCATCTATACACCGCTTAATCCTCACTAGGGTCGCGGGGGGCTGGAGTCTATCCCAGATGACTCAGGGCGAAGGCAGGTTGGACAGTCTATCGCAGGGCCACACTTAGAGACAGACAACCAAGCACACACACATCCACACCTACAGACAATTTAGAATCACCAATTAACCTCAGCATGTTTCCAGACTGTGTGGTAGGAAGCCGGAGAGTCTGGAGAGAACATGCAAACTCCACGTAGAAAGACTCCTGGTGTCCTAACCAGGATGTGAACGTGATCTTTTAGCTGCGAGGCGACGGTGACAACCACCGAGCCACCTTGCAACCCTACTTAACTAATATGCTTACATTTATTCACTCCAACTGAATAATAGACAAGAAGCAGCAAAAAAAAAAAAAACACCTGGGACAAAGCACAAAAATGACTACCATGCTGCAAGGTAACACACAGCGTTATCACAGTAACGTTAATGTGAGTTTCTTCTAGCTATATTTCATGTTCATGGGTTCTCACTTGCAATGATTAGTGTAGATTGTCAGCTACCTTAATCAATTTAAATTGTGTAATTTGCATTATGTTCCAGACCCGTAGTAGTATTTTAGCCAACAAGCGATAATGTGAGTAGTGAGTCAGAACATCCAGACTTCAGGAGTGGCAACAATCTTGTCCAAGGCAAGTGTATTGTATTACTGTAACAACTGATAGAGTCCAACACAGTGTGTTTTCAGCACCATGCAGCACACAGGGATTCATTATAGATGGCAGCATCTTGTATCCTTAGAGCATTTTAAAGATATAAAAATGAAAAGTGCACAAAGAAAACTACATAAAGTGTGCCAGTGTCTTCGCTTAGCAAGCAAACTGAGCAAACGAGCCGACCTTCCAAAACATGATAATGGCGCTTTAATGAGCGCAGGCTAAATGGTTGCTCGTATGCTGTACACGTGCAGATTTCCCCAGCAGGTCCAGGGATTTGAGCTGACAACCTCCATCTGTGTGTGTCTTTATAATAAATCTCTTACACAACACCAGAGCACAAGAAGGGATTTGAGAGAAAGTCAGCAGCGTACAGGTGGTAGATAGTATCCAGACCTCTCACCAAGGGCGCAGCCACCGACTGACAATTCACTGACACCAGCTTCTCCTGCACAGCCCCTCAAAACCTTTGCTTTTATGCTTTTCTAACATTCGAAAGCCTGCCAGTGCTGAATTTCTACTTCTATACAGTCGTAAAAAGATGCACATAAATGAGGCTTTTAAAATGCATCAGGCTGTGCGCGTGGCAACAGTCTGGACCTCAGACACCTTCGCCGGTCGAGTTCCTGCTGGTAACCAAATGTTTTCTGACAGAGCTCGTGCTGTGTGCAGCCAGAGGTGGATCGGGTCATCTATGTGCTGTGGATTTCCATAAGGTGATCTCCTAATTGTATTGTCTGAACCATTCGTTCTCCCTGCGCTTCATCCAAGCAATGGTTCTCCAACAGGGCTGGAGGCAAACACTCAGCCTTATATCGCCACGCCTTTGATCAAAGCGGCTAAACAACATTACCCTGATAGCACCCTGAGGGACAGGGTCAGCGAGGACCTGTTTCTTGACTTTTTCCACAAGACGCATTAGCACAACGTGAGCTAATGTGTCTGAAGCGGCAACGTAGGTCTGAGCCACGGGGGCTGAGTTTAGAATGTCTGTGAGCTTCATCAGTTAGTGTGCAAGGTGTGTGATCAGAAAAACAAGAACGATGGGGTGATTTCCAGGTTAAAGTTTAGGTAGAACTACTGAGGTAGCACAAGGTTATTTTTTCAGTTCAATTCAAATAACTTTATTTATCCCCTAGGGGCAATTCAAAGAAATGTGACACAGTGGCTGCAGTTTTATAGTGACAAAGTAAAGTGAGCTCATTACCAGAAGTTTGTTGGTTAAATCCCCAGACAAACAGGTTGAAATGTCATCAACGCCACTGTGGGGCCTTTGAGAAAGGCAAGAGGTTGTTAGAAAGTGCAATACCTAATTAGTCTCATGATCTATTTTCAGCCATAAATATGTTTTACCAAGAAATCAGGTTTCTGAGAATTTTCACTCTACAGTGTTTTCGTCTCTTTAAGCTCATTGTTGAGACTGTGTTGATTCAGTCTCACATCTCCTTTAGCTTCATTTTAAGCAGCAACTCTTTTCAGGGAGAAAAAGGGTTGGATACACTCACAGTACATTACCTATGCCGAGACATTTTAACATCTAATAGCTAAGAATTAAACCTTTTTATTATTATTATTTCACATGTCTAGAATGTCAGAAACACATTCAGAGATCTGTAATTAGGTTTTGTCTAATCAAAATATTAGTGACTCCTGCGGTGGATAACATCATTAGAAAATGCTTGAAATAGAAAAAGCTCACAGCAAGTAGTTTGTGGAGAAACAGAGCATCATTCATATAAAACTTGTGGTTTGAATTAAGTAGAAGGCACTGATATGATGGTGAAAGAGTTTGTAAGATGCAGTTACAATCACAGCGTATGTCTGAAAACCAAGCGCCTCCCACTTGCCATAACTTCTGACAAATTTACAGATATCTGATATTCAGCTGAATCTGATATCTGAAAAGGACTTGAATTGAGCGTAATTAAAGATACCGTTCACTGGAATTAAACTACAGATTGCATTTTTACTAGTCATATTTCATTATTTATTCATTTGATTTGTATCACTAATGAGCAACCGCATATACACGAATGGTAAATGTGACATCTTTTGTCCTCGGAAAGCAATGATTTCTGAAATTGCAGACAGAAAGAGCGACACTGTGGATATGTGAAATGTTCTTTTTGACTATCCAGTCAGGCCTTTAAACAGCTTGCATTACATTATCTGCCCAGCAGCAAACACAGCAGACAGACACAGATGGAGACTAGCTGGTGAACATAGTGGAGCATTTAGCAGGTGAAGACCCCTCGGGACCAAAACAGAGCTAAAAGGACAGTGGATTCTGAACTTTCATTCATAAGGTGGCCAGAAACACAAATCCAAATGCATGCTCATGCTCTGATGTTGATGTGAATCTGCTGGATGTGTAAGTATTTAATCATATTAGTAATATCAGCTTTATAAGATGATAATATCTCAGTGGTGTTTCACAGCTTCTTGTGCTGCCCCCAAGTGGTCAAAACAGTAGGCTGCAGCTGTGACTCACAAACCACTGTTTATTAATATTAACCAAATCCATCTATTTTCTGTGCACCGGCGCATGATGTGAGCTGAAATAATAAGCAACAGGCTTCAGTGTTAAAGGGTCACTTCACTCAGATTACAAACAAGTATTTTCTCACTCCCTACTCGCCAGCTATGCAGATGGTTTCATGTCATTGTCTTGAGATATTATGATCTGAAACTTGTGCTGCCACCTCAGTGTGGTGGGAGTGAATATATTTTAAACTGTGCTGATCCAAGCACAAAAAAAAATCACATCTGAGATACTCCCACAGCAACTTGTCTCTTCAGAAACAATTCCCCACTTGCAATCAATAATCCACAAACCTGTCTCCAGGTTTTATTGGGCTAATTTCTCAGGTAAGAACCTGCAACAATAAAGTCCGCACTTAGGATTCAGTGAGGAAAATAAGCTTTTGAGACTATTTTTTCTCAGTTTTTACAACAGTTTAAACGGGAATAAATCTTTCTTTCTTTCATCGATAATAAAAAAAACACTCATTTCTCACCAGTCAGGCTCACAGGTGGTTCCGATCTTGCTGACGGTGTATCTGTTCCATCCCAGCACCGGAGGGAAGGTCCAGATGAAGGAGAAGGTCCAGACGAACAGCAAACCCAGGATCGCATGCTTCGGTTGCAGTCGGATGTTCCCCAGCGGCCGGCAGATCACAAAGAACCGCTCGAAGGACAGAACAGCCAGAGACCAGAGCGCCACGATCCCTGTAGCAGGCAGCAGGAGGTCAGCGTGGAGGAGCTCAGCAGGCAGAAAACACACACACCAAGTGGCGAAATTTGCTTTTAATAACTACAAAAATCAAACCTCTGGGTCTTACATCTATTTGACACGGTAACAACACCCTATTATTTTGAAGAATATTACAGTATTTGAGCTCATAACTCGTGTTTTTGCTTCTTTATTAGATCCCTAACAGAATCATTAGTTTCTAGTAGATCCACACTTTTGGAACCTTTTCAATTGGGAACTCTTGGCCAAGACGTTCCCCTTTAGTGTAACCACATTTCTCAGAAAATATACAAAATACCCCAACTCTGCACGGCTGCAGAGGTAAAAGTGGCTGTGCTGTTGCTAGAAATAGTTTAATGATCCAGGGAGGCTGCATTAGGCTGCATCCTAATGGGCTAAAAAAAGACAGACTTTAATTGTGGTAATAAGTCACTCTCAGAGACTCCGGTTAATTACCTATCTCTCCCCAGTCAGGTAGTCTTTGTGCCTGCCTGCGAGACTCACTGGAGAGGACAAAAGAGACAGGTGGAGACCGGGCTGTTCAATTATCACACACACATTTAAACAACAGCCTCTGAATGTATGTGAGTTCACACATAAAATTAACACCACTGCCCTCAGTGTTGGTTTTGTTGCTTTTTAAAGTCTGAAACTGACCATCAAAGGGATGTTTTTTTTTTTTCTAGGAAAGTATCCCGCCTGCTTTTACCTATTAAAATTTCACGTATTTATCTGTAAAGCGCAGGTGGACGTACAAAGAAAAGCTAAATATAGACCCAAACAGAAAAACACTACCTACCCTGAGCAGATTATTAATTGGAGCATCTCTCCTGCTCAAGTGGAAGAGCTGGCTCTAAATTAACGACTTTCTGATTTTTTTACTCGCACGCATTCACACACATGTGAAGGGAACAAAACAGCTGTCAGTCACCGCAACAGCTGTCAAGACAAAAATTAGAGAGGCTTTTCATGTAAGTCTCGCCTCAGCGGCCTATTGATTATACATCAGCCCGGCTTCCTCAGTTATAATCTGTTATGTCAGATGGTTTGTTTTAGCGGCTGGCCAGCTTCACATCCGAGGAACAAAATCTATTTTTATGTTGCCATGTGCTGGAACACTTTGTCCCCCCAAGTTATTTGTTTTCATACACTTCCTAATCAGTAATAATGGTGCTGTTTTGGGTGGTAATTCAGTGCATCACCGCACCCAATCACCCAGTCCCTGTAGCTGTTAAGCATCATTATCAGCACCTACGGTCTCTGTCCTGGGAATATGTGACTTCAGCGAACACACAGTGGGATGCAGTTCTGGCAAGTGTCCGTTCAGGATAATGTAACTTATAATAAGGACCAAAGCTGTCTCATTAAAGCTCCACAAGTTAAACCGTTTCATGTGATAGTAATTTGCTAGTATGCATATAAGATCCTAGGAATTCCTTAGATATGATTTTTTTTCCCACCAGCATTCAGTCTGGCAGTTTGACAAGATGTGACAAAGACATCCTCTTACTTCCTGTCACACTCCTCTGTAAGTTAGTCCGAGACGGGATCACACAAACCCTTGTTAAATCCAGTAGAGAGGCTTTGTGTGAATTGATCAAGTATTCTCTTTTCTCTTGAGTTCATGTACAACAGACTGCTCTCCAGATGTCTATGATCCACTTTGGGTACTTCCACACTCAACTTGAGACCACCAAACAAATTGACTTCGTTAAACATTATTGGCAGTCACGGTGCCGCTAACCTACTTATGGCGAGTCATGCACCGCAGTGTGTGAGGAGAGTTCCTGTGCCACACTGCCGCCGACATCTGCTGTGAGCGTGGCTTTTAAATTCAAGACCCACCGTGGGCTTCTGCTACTGATCCTGCTGTCTGTTTTCATACACATAAAGCGGCTGAAAAGCAAATATCATGCAGGTGCACTATTCAAAAAATAGCACCAGTAAACACTGCAATGACTTCTTTCACTGTTTCCTTGACAGATTGGGTTTCACTTTGCAAAAAACTAATGTCTATTATCCCAAATCCTTCTGTTTTAGTTTACCAAATGCTCCATGGTGCAGATTGCACTTTTAAAAAACTAGAATTAAATTTTAACATAATAACTTGCAGTTTGTCAGAGAGGTACATTTTCTTTACAAACACCTAAAAACTATGTAAAAATCCCCGTTATGTCAGTAATGTAATGCGCTTAGTGTGCTCTGCCCTTACTGTCCATAAGGTATTGCTTGAGTTATCCCCATATCACTGTAGCAAGTCATCAGTTTACTCTGACTCTTATTTTACAAAAACATGCTTTTCAAAATAAAACTACTCAAAAGAACTGGGCAAAACTCCTGACAGCAAACTGCAATCTGATATGTCTGCCAACTTTTTTTTATTGTGGCAACATTCTACAAGCCATTAAATCTTTCTTTTATGTCTCTCCCAGATGCCCAATAGTAGGAACAGCTGTTAAAGTCACTCTTAGAATCTCATGTGGAGACTTTTTCAGTCATGCTTTATCTTTGCAATATAAGTTGGCTATAAAAAAAATAACCTCCAACAGGGACACTACAGAAGCTTCATTTTTGCATCCCTGCAATATAAAAAAAAAATGAAAAGAGAGTAAACCTACCGAAAAAAGTAACAGCAAACCCCTCCAGGATGCAAGCCCACTTCCCAAGGAAGAAATACCCCCTGGCGTTAGTCAGGAAACTTATTACTCCACCGGTGAGGGAGACCAGAAAGTCAGCGATGGCCAGATTAACTATAATGTAATTCAGGGGCTGTCTGAGCTGCTTGAACTTGAAAGTGATAAACATGACGAGGAAGTTTTCAGTCAGAGACAGCGAGGTGACTACAAACATGACAACGGCCAGGATGGTGAAGTTCCACTGCTCGATGTTCTGGATGGGTCCATTGAACGGGTCATCGGTGGAGAGCACAGGTGCCACAGTGTAGGACACCGCGTTCACTGACAGGCTCAAGGTATCCATTGTCCATGCCAGAGTGTCGGCTACCTGCTTGCTGACCCTAACCGAGAGAAAATCCCGTTTGATCTCTTTTTCTCATGCTCACAACTTCACGTGGAGTCGCTCCCGGACAGGCGCGCTCACTGCTCAGCGTTCAGCACGCTGCCTGCCCTCTGGAGCATCCTGTGCGCTCCACGGAGCTTCTCTTACAAAGTTCAAGTGGTTGAAATCCGCCTTGGCTGACGAAGCAGCAGGGAGAGAGAGAGAGTGGGGGAAAAAAATCCGCTAGATTACTACGATTTCGCTTTGGAAAGCGTGAGTCTGCATGTGGCAGCGGAGCAGAAGTTGCACCGTGCAGGCTGAGGCGAGGTGTTGAAAAGCGCAAGAGCACGACTGACCGATCACTGGCATCTTGGAAGCTCTTATATAGGCGTCTCTGGCATCGCTGCTGCCCTCCAGGAGAGTCGACAGGACGTCCTCCTCATGCGCGCTTCTTTTCACGCTGCGGACACTAACGACAACAAAGTCTCCGGGCTTGGCGCACACTCCGGATGAACCCTGCAGCGGAGAACAGCGATCGATGCTACTCTGTCCTTCTCCCACAAACCAATAATCACTCACATTCATCATTAATAGAAGTAACTCTATTTATAGGCTCCAGAATGGCACATTGAAATGTAGTGTCTTTGCTTTTTTTTGTGCGCAATTTGTTAGTCATGCGTAATTAGGAACCCCAGTAGTCTGATTGGTCACAGTGGACTGCTTGTACTCATTAAAATTAAACACTAATATTCACCTTTTACACGTTTCCAACAAAACTAGAAATGTGCATGCATATGGAGCATGTGTGCCATGTGTTAAGAATCAAGCCTGTAGCTGCCTTTCTGTGCAGGTCTTCAAGGTGCAGTTATGACACAAATCTGCAAACCTGGCTCTGACTGCTGCCTGATAACTAATCAATAACGCTATTTGCTGCAGCTAAATGTGGCATCAAAAGGTCAACTTACACAACACCCCAGACTTTGATTATGTTAGACTGACCCCCACCACCACCACCACAACACCCCAGAGAAACACATTCACATAACTCCCCACTAATCAGCTAACCAGCCTAGAAGAGGCATTTAACAGGGAAGTTTATATATAATTCTCTAATTTCACCACCTCTGAGGAAGGAGCAGACTGTAAGAAAACTTCAGTCATCAATCCTTCAGCGCTGGTCCATGACCTCACATTGCACACAAGAACAGTGAAAAGGATGAATAGCATCCGTGTGCTGATTACACCTGGTTACCATTGATTTTAAAACTATAGGACGGCTGACTGAGCTGTAGGTGTATTGCTTAGCTCGGCACCTCACACCTTGAGCTGAACAATAGAGCCACAGCATTTCAATAGACATGAAAAAATGTGAAAGATGCACAATGTCATTTAAAAACCCATTAATATGTAACAATTACATTAAGGTAAATGCACTGTAAAGAAGCTTAAACCTTAAAGATTGTTTCTGAACATCGATAGAATTTAGGGAATTGTGCATTTCAGGGAAACACACTGCCATGTGGGAAAATGTGTATTATAACCTTGTGGATGATATTTTGACCATATTTGTCCAACTCCAGATCATATCAATTTGGATGTAATCATTTTAAGGTGGTGTGTATCTGTGTACTGACAGAGAAATTGTTCTAAAGTGAAATTAGATTTATAATCATTACAAAGCTGCATTACCTCAGGAAAATTGACCAAAATAAGAGATTTAACCGATTTTGAAATTGAAAAATTCCTTTCGTATAGAGAGTCTTGCAATAGCTAAAGCACTGAGGAATGACCACTGGACAATTAAGCACTTGGTCGCAAAAAGTGAACGGGGTCTCAAGACCTGGGAAAGAAAACAACAGACTTCACATGAAGCTACAAGGAAGCCATTATCCTCCATATTCAAGAACCCGCCTGCAGTGTCCAAGAAGTATAAGGTGTCAAGTGCTCCGAGGCATGGCCTTGGTAACGAAGGCTGAAAACTGTCCACCACTGATACCTGAAGAGAGACTTTTTTTTTTAATGAAGTGGAGCGACTGTTGATGGAGTACATGGATAAGATTGTGGGCGGATCACTAATGGACACAGTGCATCACCTCCAGTCAGGTGTCAACAAGGTGAAGGAGGGCCGCTGATGGAGGCTGCTGTCATTAAGGATGAGCTAGTTGGATCTTTTCAGGTTGAAGATGGACTGAAAGTCAACTCCCAAACCTACTGATGGTTTCTGGGAGATACTTTCTTCAAACAGTGGTGGAGTCTGTTGCGTTCAAGCCGGCCATAATCTTCATTCAGGACAACAGTCCATCATAGGTATCGCCAGCAAAGGCCTCAAAAATGATAAACAAATGACCGGCCCTCCTTCCTTACATCACTTAAAACTCATATTAAAAACTTGTAGGCTCTTCTTAATGTGAGATTAGCAGTGAAGGAAAACAACCCAGAACAGAACAGCAGAGCCGAGGCTGGCAGCGCAACAGAAAAGAAAGCGGAACAAGAACAAAACTACACACAAGAAAGGAGAAACGCAAGGCAGTTAAAAAAAAAAAAAAGAAAGCAACAATGGTCACTGAATATTTCCAAAAGGCCAAAAAATATTTGTGCAGCTTAATTGACACATTTACTCTTAACTTAGTGAGGTGAATTGTTGTACTATTTTTTGCATTATAATTCCGCACAGTAATGATTGCACACTGCTGCCAGTTACATGCAGCTTCACGGTAAATTGTCCTGAAGTGTCTCCTCGGAAGCATTTACATTTTGGATGTATAGGGGAAGGAGCAGACTTTCTTATTTAGAAGTCTTTCCCAACTTTTTTTTTTTTTATCTGCAGCTGTCTAATAAATCTTCTTTTAAGACAAAAAAGGAAACTATCTAACGCTATTGGAAGATGTGCTTCAGGATGAGGAGCTGTCTCGTGAATAACTCCTACACTGTGGCCTGCACAGGAGGTTATGACTTTGAGATAATGTTAGTAGCTCAAAAAAAGGGGAGAAAACAAGTGCTGTAGTGACCATGTTGCTAAACTGGTGCAGCAAAAAGCTTCTTTTGACATTGAGTTGGCGTAATTCAGTATTCACTTTGAGGCATAGCTTGAAGATTCACAAGGATCTGGAGTTTCAAAAGGATTAGAAGTCAAAGATTAGCTCCAAGTTCATTCCAAATCATACAAACTTGTCATTTATACTTTAGGGTCCACTTTCATGTTAACTTAGAGCCAGAACTCGAAGGTCAAGTCTGCACGGAACTTTTCCTCAGAGGTGAATCACCTTCCCGCTGTCTCCGTCTCTGCCCAGTCTTTGATCTAGTTCCCTCTTGTGGAAGCCAGCTTGTCACACCTCAGTGACCATCACGTAAATGAGGATTTATTGCCTGCTGTATCTGTCCAGACTTCTGTATGAATGCTTTTGTTTGGCAGGTGTTTTAAAGCGCCATTGCCAAGTTCAACCTTGTGCTTCGCTCAAAGAGTCAAAAGAGCAGATCCAATTAGGAAAACTTTTGCGAAAATACTTTCCATGATTTTCTTTAGGTATGAGAAATTCCCTCTGCAGCAGCTCGGATTTCTATTACACTTGACATATGCTTTCGTGCCAACGCCTACGAGCTACCATCATAATTCAGTGATGTAAATGTCAGCTATATAATCACTAGGGGATTAAGCCTTACATCACTGTGGCACATGCGCTTTGCACGACTGATTTCTCAACCTTGTTCTGTTGACAGACAACACAGTTTCATCTCATCCCACCTTTCTATTACATGTTTACCAGGCTCCCACCAGGGCAGTGACCTGTGGAATTGGCTGGTGTGGCTGTTTCACCGAAGGCTTAATTGGATGGGAATCCAAGTCCAAGAGGGATATCATGAGAAGCGCTGGCACCTGAAGGACACAACTGAGATGGACAAGTTTGTGGTCACTCCTTTGGCTCTCTATCACACTGTGGAAATAGTTGAAAATGGAAGAGGCCTTTGCATGGATGTTTTTTCCAGAGTAGCTGGTGGTACAACGATCCAGTGAAATTTTGTAATCTATCTATAAAAAGAACAAGCTCATAGTTATTTTGCAGAATTAATGGCTTATGCACATGTTTTCTAAAGAGCATACTTTAATTATTGGTATTTATCAGTTGCACAATTATCAGATCCTATATTAAACTGTTGTAAATAAACATAAGTAAACAAAGGGATTTCACAAACTTTTGGGTTTTTGTTCATTTAAATTTTGGCACCAACACTTGCATTTTTACTAAAATGTATATAAGTTGCCAATATTGGTGATCAACAGTCTTAATATTACACATACAACTAGACTGCATTCTCTCTTGTATGTTGAGGGAAATGTATGTTTTCCCAGCCTATACTTTTTTGTGACACTCGTTTCTGAGCATTGTGTCTTTGCCATTCATTGTATTGATTTTAAGCTGTTGCTGTTTTACAGCCAAACAATTATATCTGAAGGGGTGGGAATTGTCACCCTGGTAACCAAAAAAATGGAGAAGAAGCTTCAAACAAGTTGTGAAAGGATCACGTTTTGCATGAAACCTTGATATTTGCCTGAGGAGTATAAAAATTTTACTTAAACCTAAAAATGATTGTCTCACAAGAGACAGGTATTATTTATCACATATTTATTATTTATACCATACTATACTGTGCTATATATATTATGTTATAATTATGTTAGAGACGGACAACCAAGCACACTCACATTCACACCTACAGACAATTTAGAATCACCAATTAACCTCAACATGTTTTCAGACCTTGTGGGAGGAAGCTGGAGAACCTGGAGAGAACCCACGCTGCACGGGGAGAACATGCAAACTCCACGTAGAAAGATCCCGGATCACCGAGACACGAACCGGCGACTTTCTTGCTGGAAGGCAACGGTGCTAACCACCGATTCACCTTGCAGCCCTGTATCAAACTTACGTATTTCAAAACTTTTTCATGAAAATCATTCCTTCGTGCCTCAAAATGACTTAGCTCTAACTCTACGACGTTGCTTCCTCTAGACTGTACAACTCTGCCTTTTTTCTCCAACACTTGCT